TGCCACTACCACCTTACTTTATAACATAGCTAAACATTTTACTGGAGAACCTCAACCTTTTCAAGATAGAAGTCTAGAAATATTATGTAATATATCTTGCCCAAAGTTGAATTAATTTAGATGGTATAAAGATATTTTTCTCAAAAAATTTATGATTAGAAAATACTGTAATCATGATTATTGAAAAGAAAAATTTGTTAGTGGTCTCCCAAGTTACTTGCTTAAAAGGTTAGTAAAATTAAAAGATTGAAGGAAAATTCTTTCCAATCAATTAACCTATGTTGACCTCATAATTTATATAAATATAAATGGAATAGAATTATGTACATACATAGAACATAAGAATAAACTAAAATAGATCGTAAAATATCTCAAAATGAACTAGGAAACTTTTGTCTAGACTATTGTTATATCAAACATCCGCCCCATAAAAAGCGGCTTTTGAAAGAGAGAACAATCAAAATAAACATAATAAGAAGAACCCCGTCATTAAAAATGAAGGTTCAAAAAATCTAACCATGATCCTGGTAAAAATAGATTTTAACCAAACAACTGAAAGGTGTCGGGGCTGTGGAAAAAAAGGACATCAAGCCAAGGACTGCCCCGCCACTAATAAAAAGAAAGAGAAAATTAATATGTTAATTCTGGAAGAAGTTAAGGATAAATTATATTCTATTTTAGAATATAATAATTCGTCCTACCATAACAATCTTAGCAACGACGATCAGGTAGAGATGGCCTATAGTTCTGAAGATAGTAAGTCAACGGACACTTGGAATGTGGTAGTGTAAGTTGCACATGCAAAAAGCAAAAACATTCCATAAATTTCATTGCTAGTAATAATAAGGAAACGTTTTTATATGATAAATCATATTAAAAATTCTATTTTTAGAAAAAAATACTTAATTACCTTAAGAAATTTAGTCCTTGATAAACGAGCTGATACAATTACTAAAAAATCACCACCAAAATCAGGAACTGGAAAATTATAAATTTGAACCTGAAGAATAATCAAAAAGTTATAATCTCTCATAGAACATCTTTCTAAACTAAGAATTAGTAACATTGCTATCATTTGATTGCAAGGCATCCATACAAGGGCGCTAGGTAAAAATCATATATTCCCCTACATAAATTATATATGAAAACAAGAGAATAATTTCCTAAAAGAGGAAAATACATTAAAAATAAACCTATTTTCATACCAAGAAAATTATGCAATAAAAATTACTAAACCTTCTCTTCCTCGTAGGTTTTACTTAACCTTCTTTATACAGCTAGGAGTAACACAATTTAAGAATAATTTAAATAATAACTACAACACAACTCAATATATTTTCCATAAAAATTATACATTTTTTAATTGGAGAGAAGTATTATGTAACTTTGGTTTTCAAATAAAGGGATAAAAACTCTCAAAAATTTTAATAAAAGAAATTTTCAAGAAAATAATGAAGTCAGGAATAAGACTTTTCCCGATGTTCAATCGAAGTAAAAATGAAACGACCATTTTATGAAAAAGATTAAACAAAATCAGAAGATATATACATGTATTCCTTCCTACAAAAATTTAATATACCCTCACCATTGAAAGGACCCATAAATAGCTCACTAAAGCTACAACCACTTCAATCGGTTTTTCGAGAAAATTCATCCTCCCCGATCAATAAAAATATTTTTATCCAAACAAAGGATAGTTACAAAATGAAAAACGCAGAGATATACCAACAAGCAAATCTCGGGGCCACCTCTCAAAAGAAAAAGGATAAGGCTCAAAATAAAAAACAATTCGAGTTAAAAGTGTTAAAGGTACTACCAATTACTGCAGGTGATAAAAGATGTGCGAAATATAAAATTCAGGACTTACTAAAGCCCTACTACACCAACAAAAATTATGTGGAGACGGAAGATCCTCTCAAGACCCAAAGGTATTATGAATTTATTTTAACAGATACCAATATAGTAGAAATTGAGCATATATTTGACGAAAATAATTCAGATAGTATACTATATTCCAAGTTCTCTATAAAAAGAATATTGAGTCCAATTGAATGGTTTGAAGATCATCTGCATACCCCTATTCACTTATAAAAAACTCATAATTCCCAGAGATATAACTAGTATGATTCTAAAGAAACCTGGTATAATGTTATTTTTGTTAGACCAAATACCCACACTTGTTTATAAAATATACAGAAGAAATGAAGAACATAATTATTCCCCGATGGTTTTACAAATAGTGGAGTCAGTTCGGAGGAAACAAATAGGTATTATCAACTCAGCATCAAATATAGTTTGAGAAATTTCAGTTAGAAAGAAAAATATCTACCTTATCAGAAAATATTAAATTATGAAAGTTCTTTATTGCCAAAAGGATCTCTTGTATTATTTGTTTGTCCTTCAAAATTCGTGAATTTGAGAGGATCAAATATTTAAGCAATATCATTAATATCAAAGAATGGGCGCCAGCTGTCCACGATGATAAGCTAAATACAAGTTCAGCACCCCAAAGGGATTATGACAACTCCAAAGGAATATTAAAAAATGGATAGAAGAAACTTTACTTTACTTCAAAACTTATACCGAATCAAAATTTGAGTTATTAGATATTTCAACCTCCAATTACGAGCTTAGCAATGGATATATGTTAGATATACAAGGAATAACACAATCATATCTTCTTAATTAAAAGAAAGTGCTATCACATTTTGATGAAAAACAAGAAAGATATCACGAAAAGAAATATCAAAGAGTGGACCCTACATACAAAGATATACAAGTTTCAAGACCATTATAATAATCAACTTTGGATAAAGCAAGCTTATTCACTATGTCAACAATTCTACCAACTTGCGGACCCCGCTGGAATTGTTGGAAAGAAAAAGGAAATCTAAGGGAGAAAGTTAACAGAGAATAGAGCAAAAGAAAAGTGAAGCTACTGCCCAACTTCTTGTTTCTAATTTTTTTGCTATATTGAAACTAACGAGACATGCCTATTAAATAGGCTTACAATGAAACAGAAATGCTAAAATTTAGGTACCCACTAATTACTAGTTAGCTACTAATCTGCCACTATATCTAACCATGCTAAAATAAAGGGAACTAACTAACAACCTCCTAAAGACTTGGTCAAGTATCTTTGAATCAATTCTCAATACTCCCCCTTAATTCGAACCTGCAAACTACAAGTTGACTTCTGAAGAACTCGTGCTTTTCTTGAGGAAGTGACTTTGTGAAGATGTCTGCTATTTACTTATTTGTATTACAAGACTTCAAAGTAATTTCTCCAGTAGAAACAAGACCTCGAATGTAGTGATAGTGAATATCAATGTGTTTTGTTCAACTGTGAAATGCTGGCTTCTTCGTCATCGCAATAGCAGATATATTGTCACAAAAAATCTTAGTCGCACCAGCTGGTTTTTTATTAATGTCTGCCACAAGTCTCCTTAACCAAACTTCTTGACAAGCTGCAGAGGTTGCTGCAATATATTCAGCCTCTGAAGTTGATAAGGCTACTACTTCCTGCTTCTTTGAACTCCACGAAATTGCTCTTGATCCAATATTAAACAAGAAACCAGATGTGCTCTTTCTGTCATCAATGTTACCTGCGTAGTCACTATCAATAAAGCTAGTTAGTGTGAAATTTGTTACCTTAGAATACCAAATTCCATGCTCTGTTGTCCCAGCGATATATCTCAGCACTCTCTTTGCAGCTCCAAGGTGAAGCTTGCTTGGATTGTACATAAATCTCGATATGACTCCAACAGAGAATGCGATGTCTGGTCTTGTATGAGACAAGTAGTTCAAACCACCAACAAGACTTCTAAAATAAGTCGCATTTGCCATTTAAGAACCATCATCACGACACAACTTCTCATTAATATTCTTTGGCGTAGCAGCAGCTTTACAATTTACCATAGTAAACTTTTTCAAAAGATCTGTTTTATATTTTATTTGTGAAAAAAATATGCCATCAATTCCATGTTTCACCTCAAGACCAAGAAAATAATGCAGCAGACTCAAATCAGACATCTCAAAACTCTTCATCATGCAGTCCTTAAATTCAGTGACGATAGACTCACTCGAACCCATATATATCATATCGTCAACGTAAAGACATACCATCAAAAAATCATTTTTATCTTCTTGTTTTACATAAAGAGTAGGCTCATTGTTAATTATTTCAAAACCATTCTCTTAGAAATATGAATCAATTTTGAAGTACCATGCCTGCGGGGCTTGCTTTAAGCCATCGAGTGCCTTTTTTAACATGTAAACCTTATCTTCTTTGTCATTAACTACAAAACCTTCAGGCTGTGAGACATAAACTTCCTCTTCCAAATCACCATTTAAAAAGGCAGATTTAACATCAAATTGATACATTGGCCAATTTAAATTAGCAGCCAAGGCTAAGAAAGTTCTCACAGTTTCAAAGCGGGCAACAGGAGAAAAAGTCTCGTCGAAGTCAATACCTTGTTGTTGGGAATAACCCTTTGCAACGAGCCTTGCCTTGTGTTTTTGGATGCTGCCATCTGCATGATATTTCGTTCTAAACACCCATTTGAGCCCAATAGCTTTCTTTCCTTCTGGCAAATTTACGAAATCCCATGTTTGATTCTTTTGAATAGCCAACAACTCCTCTTCCATAGATTTGCACCATTTATCCTCTGTTTTAGCATCTTCAAAGAAAATAGGATCTGAAACAAGTAAAGCAAAAATACAAGATATATTGTCAGCATATCTGGGATTTGTTTTCCTATCCCTTGTTGATTTTCTTAATGGAGTTGGCTCAGCTGAAGGTTCTTCCAATGTTGGAGATGTTGCTGGTACAATTGATGAGGTAGTCGATGGACCTGCCAAAAACTGATCTGCTCCATACTCTTGATCAACAATAACGTCAGAAGGCAACAATTGAATATTTGAACTTTCATTTCCTGAATTAAAGTTACAGCTTGCATCATCATTAAACACAACATTTTTATTGACCATAATTTTTCCACTCACTGGATTGTATAGCTTATAGGCTTTGAATTGTGAGCTATATCCAACAAAGATACATTTTCACATTTTTCATCAAGCTTACGTCGAGCCTGCGAATTCACCAAAGCATAAGCTATACAACCAAAGACACGTAACTGGCTTACCTTTGGCTTGTTACCTCTCCAAGCTTCATATGGTGTTCGATTAAAAACTTCCTTGGTGGGTGAAATATTTAGCAAATAGACAGTAGTGGCAACAACTTCAGCCCAAAAACACTTCAGTACACCTCTACCTTCCATCATGCTTCTGCCCATCTCGACAACTGTGCGGTTTTTTCGTTCAGCTACACCATTCTGCTCCGGTGTATAAGGTGCTGTGAGCTCTCTGTGTATTCAATTTTCCTCACAAAAGGAACAGAATTCTTTTGACATAAACTCACCACCTCTATCTGTCCGAAGAGTTTTGATTCTACATCCACTTTTCCTCTCAACAAAAGATTTTAATTTCTTGAAATTCTCAAATGTTTCATATTTATATTTCAAGAAATATATCCAACTCATACGAGTAAAATCATCAGTAAAAAGTAGAAAGTATCGACTTCCTCCTAAGGACTCAACACTCATAGGACCGCACAAATCAGCATGTACTAACTCAAGACAAACAGAAGCTCTCCAAGACTTGCCTACAGGAAAAACCTTTTTACTTTGTTTTCCATAAACACAGCTTTCACAAAAATCAAGATTCTCAACTTTTGGCAACCCAAAAACCATTTCCTTTTGGCTCAATAACTTCAACCCATTAACATTTAAATGACCATAATGCAAATGCCACAGTCTAGTTTCATCATCTCCACTAGCTACCATAACACACTTTTCAACTATTGAAACTTGTAAAGGAAACATTTTGTTGTTAGTCATTGGAACATTAGCAATGGTTTTCCCAGATTTCTTATTTTTAATAGTGCAAACACCATCATCAAAAGAAATTGAGTACCCGCTAATCATTAGTTCTCCAACGCTAAGCAAATTATGAGATAGGCTAGGAACAAACATCACATCTTCTAAAATTTTAGCATTACCTTGGCTGGTCATAATGCTAACAGTGCCTTCGCCTTCAACCTGAATCTTCTTGTTATCTCCAAGCCTCACGTTTGATTTTTTTGACTCATCAAGATCCTTGAACAATGATTTTGTTCCGTACATATGATTGGAACATCCACTATCCGAAAACCAAACATCGTTAGGAGTCTTTTTTTCACAAGAAAGCGCCATGAACAACTTACATTCATCATCATTTTTCTCTTCAAAGCTTGCTTGGTTATTCTCATCCTTCCTTTTTTGCAAACAATAAGCTTATTTATGACCTTGTTTTCTGTAGTTGTGGCACAAAAACATCCTTTGCTTCTCTTCATTTGGTCCTCTTCAATCTCGACTTCTTCCTTGGCCTCTTCCATGACCTCTTCCTCGAAAGCCACCTCTGCCTCAACCACAATTTGCAAAGTTTTCTAGCTTAACTTTCTGATGAGTAGACTCCCCCTTCATCTGAAATGCCTTTTCTTCATTTTTTTCATGTGAACTTACGAGCCTCTCTTCATGAGCTTGAAAAGAACACATTAGTTCATCAAAAGTATAATCAGATAAGTCATGAGATTACTCAATCGCAGCAACAATATGTTCAAATTTTGGAGTAAGACTCCTTAAAAATTTTGCTACAACAGTCTCTTCAGATATATCTTCAGCATAAGACTTCATTTGATTAACAAGAGAAGAAACTCTAGACAAATCAGTTTGAACAGATTCATTACTTTTCATAGAAAGAGTTTCAAAGTCGCGACGGTAAGTCTGCCATTTTACCGTAAAAACCTTAGCTGAACCTTGAAATTCCTTCTTCAATATCTTCCATGCCTGAGATGATGTAGTTGCTGCCGCAATTCTTGAAAAAATTGTATCATGAACTGCTTGTTGAATCAGGAACAAAGATTTGGCGTCTTTCTTTTTGGTCTCTTTCAATTTCTCTGCCTCCTCGTCAGAGCCTGCTAGATCCACAAATCCTTATTCCACCAGCTCCCAAACTTCTTGTGATTTGAAAAGAGTTTTCATTTTGATATTCCAAAACTCATACTTTTCACTAGTAAAAATTGGCATGAGGGGCTGCGAAGATGATGAAATACCATTCGGTGCAATTTTTTTGGCTCTCACACTTCCTCTTTTGTATCATTCAAATACTCAGTTGATATAAACCTCACGACTCACTCAATTTCCAGAAAGGAACCTTGCTCTGATACCTGATTTGTTGGAAAGGAAAAGAAATCTAAGGGAGAAAGTGAACAGAGAATAGTGCAAAAGAAAAGTGAAGCTACTGCCCAACTTCTTGTTTCTGATTTTTTTGCTATATTGAAACTAACGTGACCTGCCTATTAAATAGGCTTACGATGAAACTGAAATGCTGAAATTTAGGTACACAATAATTACTAGTTAGCTACTAATCTGTCACTATATCTAACCTTGCTAAAATAAAGGGAACTAACTAACAACCTCCTAAAGACTTAGTCAAGTATCTTTGAATCAATTCTCAACAGGAATAAAGTCACAAAGTAACAAGAGGACAAAATAACAAGATATGCTTTGAAAATAAAATTTCAGCAAAAGAAGATAAACATGCAGTGAAGGATATATAAGTAATTTAAGTTAACGTAACATCTATTCCAAGACATGTACAATTATCATCAGTTATTTGTAATAGGTAGTAGTTACTTGTTGAAAAAATTATGTGTATTAGTGTATGAACACACCTGTAAAATAGATAGAATAATAATTTAGATTAGTCAGCACTTTTGATGCTTACTTAAGGCTTTCAACTTATATCAGTAGAAGGCATTCAAAATCTTACTGACTTTGAAAAACCTCTCTACATTTTCTCCCATTTCCATTTCCATCTACTTTCACTCATTTCATCCATCAATGAAAAATGTTTTGTAAGTACATATTTTCTCTATGGAGGGGATGAATCGAGTTCTGAGAAGAAATGCTAAAGAAAATTAGGCATAGTAACGGAAGGGAGAAAGAACAAGTAAATTCTTAAAACAAAAGTTAAGAAAACAGAAGAATAAGAATGCAGTAAATCAAAACTTTAAATTTTCAAAACATAAAAAAAAATACTTAAAATAAGTTGAGAAAAGTATGTACTTACAATTTTTTTTATTAATATAGGGAATAGAGAGAGAACATGGATGATGGGAAATGTAAAAGATGGGAAATTGGGAGAGCATGGTAGAGAGGTTTCAAAGTTGTATGATTTTGTATGCCTCTACTTGTACAAGTTGAAATCCTTAAATAGGCCTCAAAAGTACTAACTAATCTAATTTATTATGTTATGTATTTTACGTGTGTCCATACAATAATACACATTATTCATCTAACACGTAACTACTACCTATTACAAATATCTGATGATAATTATACGTGGATTGAGATAGATGCCATATGGCAAAGTGGTAGCCTATGATTCTAGACAACTTAAGGTGCATGAGCGAAACTATCCAACTCATGATCTTGAATTAGAGGATGTGGTATTTTCCTGCAAAATATGGAGGCATTACTTGTATCATGCCCATGTTGATGTGTATACCAACCACAAGAGTCACCAATATGTGTTTACTCAAAACGAGTTTAATCTTTGACAAAGTAGGTGGTTGGAATTGTTGAAATAGTACGAATTGAGTGTTATCTATCACCTCGGTAAGTCCAACGTGATTGAGGATGCTCTAAGTCATTTATCCAAGGGTAGTGTGTCACATGTAGATGAAGCCAAGTAAGACCTAGTGAGAGATGTTCATAGGTTGGCTAGATTAGGTTGTGGTTGGAATTGTTGAAGGAGTATAAATTGAGTGTTCTCTATCACCTCGGCAAGGCCAATGTGATTGTGGATGCTCTAAGTAGTTTATCCATGAATAGTGTGTCTCATGTAGATGAAGCCAAGAAAGACCTAGTGAGAGATAATCATAGGTTGGGTAGATTTGGTGTGATGTTGGAAGATTCTTAAAATGTGGTTTCATGGTCCATGTAACTCTAAATCATATTTGGTAGTTGAGGTGAAGTCCAAACAAAAGCATGATCAATCATTGATGGATTTAAAGGAATCGGTTTTTGGTATGCTTAATGAGTAAGTCTCCTTAGGAGGGGGTAGTGTCTTAAGGTTTCAAGGAAGATTGTGTGTTTCCAATGTAGATGGGTTAAGGAACCGGATCCTTTAGGAAGCTGATGTGTTCCGTTACTCCATTCATCAAGGTTCGACAAAAATGTACCAAGACCTTAGGAAAGTATTTAGGAGGGAAGGTTTGAAAAAGGACATAGCAGAATTTGTTGCTAAGAATCCAAATTGCCAACAAGTGAGAGCTGAACACCAAAAGCCAGAGGCTTACTACAAGAAATCCAAGTTCCTACTTGGAAATGGAAACATATCAATATGGATTTTGTAGTAGGGTTGCCTAGGATTCAACGACAATATGACTCTATATGGGTGGTCGTGGATAGATTGACCAAGTCCGCTCATTTCATTCCCGTCAAGTCTACTTATTCGATGAAAGATTATGCAAGGAACTTCATAGATGAGATTGTATGCCTCCATGGTATTCCGTTATCCATCATATCAGATATGGTTAAACAATTCACGTCTAGGTTTTGGAGTTCATTCCACAAAAGGTTGGGTACAATGGTGAAATTAAGCAGCGCTTTTCATCCCCAAACGGATGGTCAAGCGGATACTATTCAAACCCTTGAAGATATAATTAGGGCTTGTATTATTGATTCAAGGGAAATTGGGACAAACATTTTCCTTTGGTGGAGTTTGCTGACAATAATAGTTTCCATCCATTCATATCCATGGCTCCTTATGAAGCCTTGTATGGTAGGAGGTGTAGGTCTCCTATTGGATGGTTTGAATTTGGTAAACCTTCGCTTCTTCGTCCCGATTTGATTTATAAGAGTTTGGAGAAAGTTCAAATCATAAGGAACTGGTTGCAAATGGCCTATAGTCGGCAAAAGTCTTATGCCGATCATAGGTGAAGGGAATCAGAGTTTGGAGAAGGTGATAAAGTGTATTAGAAAATTTCTCCTATGAAAGGGGTGGTTAGATTTGGCAAGAACGAGAAGTTGAGTCCTCGATATATGGGTCCCTATGAAATCTTGCAAAGGGTTGGTAAGGTTGCCTATGAATTAACGTTTCCTAGAGAATCGGCTTCAGTTCATCTGGTTTTTCATGTTTCCATGCTTAAAAAGTGTGTTGGTGATATAGAGTCTATTCTTCCTATTGAGGGTCTTGGAGTAAAAGTTAATCTCTCTTATGAGGAAGTTACGGTTTAAATCCTTGATAGGCAAGTAAACAAATTGAGGAATAGGGCGGTGGCTTCCGTAAAGGTGTTATGGAAGAATCACCTAGTTGAAGGTACAACATGGGAGGTCGAGGCCGACATGAAGTTCCGTTACCCTCATATATTTGATAACTAAGGTTAGTAGTTCTTGCTAATAATGAAAATAATGACCAAAAAAATTTAAGTCTCTAGATTTTTGGTGAAGTCTTGCTAAAATGTGTATATTGATATTGTTACTGTGAACATGCCTAATTAACTTGAAAATTGTCAATTTTTCTCTTTGGCTTGTCTTGAGTCGTGTTGTGCATTTTGGTATAGTGAGTCTTTATGAAATCGTATGTAGCATGTTGATAAGTTGAATTATGGCATAATTGACTCGTAAAATTCTATGTTGAGCTCTTGTTGTTTTGAGAAAGACATTCCTCATAATGTAATTTGAGCCTTGTGTGTGCTAATTGAAGTTTTGAAGTGCCTTGTGTAATTGATAAAGTTGATGTTGTTATGTTTTGTTGTTGGTTGGGTTGCTAGTCTTGAGTATATTCGTCCTTCAGAAGAGTTTTTAGTGTCATTCGGGGACGAGTGTTCCTAAGGGGGGATAATGTAACACTTCGAAAATCCAGGACATGCTCTAGAGACTAACATAGGTGTATGAAGGTTTAGACACTGATTTAAGGTCCATTTTAATGAATATAAGTCATTTAGGGAGTCTAGGAACCAAAACGTCCAAGAACGTCCATGACGTTTGGAAAGTAGTTCAGGGAGGTACTATCGCGTCTTAGCCTATTTGACTAGATTTTAGAATTCGGAAAATGATGAAAAATTATGGAAGAGTGTCTAACATGTGTTTAAGTTAATTCATAGTCAAAACGTTTGGGTACGACTCCCTAAGGACCAACCAAGGGC